TTGCTCATCAAACGTGTAGATAAGATTCATTTATACAGCAATTATTTGTTTCCATATAAATTCCAATTAAGTTTTAGTATTTAGAATTGTTGAATGGATCTCGGTCTAATTTATCTTCAACAGAATTGACGATTCTTCACATTTGAATAGAAACCTAATTACTTACATTTTTTCTATATACTTGTAAGTTCAAGTTGTTATTAATTTTTTAATGAAGAATTTGCTAATGTTATTCATGGTATGAGCTTTAACTACTGCAAAATGTGCAAAGGATGTGGAATTTATTACAATCGGTATATTTATTTCACATAAATTTAAAGTTGTACTTGATGTAAGTGATAAGGAAGAATACATTTAAATAACACATACATTGAACATGTATAATCCACCCATGACATTATAAGCGTACAAATAAAACATATTCATCCCTATTATTTATACAAGGAGGTAGATGGTGACTCCCATTGAATTTCCTCATTGGTTTTGTTCGCTACCATTTCAAAATATCACATTTTAGTAATACCTCCAAAGAAAGTAGAATTAAGTATTAACTTTAAATCCAATTTTCTGAAATTCCGTTATTCTTTTGATAAATTTTCCTTTGAATAAAAAAGTTAAATCTTTGATGGAATTCAGAATATTTTAAACAAAACTGTAGACCGGAAGTGACTCTAGTCTTTGTGTGACAAGGTAAATTATATGGGATGACTTGACTGTATGTATGACGATCTTAAACAATGACAAATGCGCATGCCTAAGTAGGCACTTCTTACCGTCTCTTATGATAGACCATTCATTATACCGTGAACATTATACGCTTTATTAAATAGTTGTAAACAATAGCTTCTACTGTATCATGAATAAAGAAATTGCATTGATGTTTAAGTACGAATATAATTCATCCATAAGTTTTAAGTGTTGTAACACTATTCGTTGTTTGTGTAATACCTAGTCATTTATGTGTTGTAAATGAGTATTAATTTTCGATATTTTTCGAAAAGAGTTTATAAGCAGAAAATAATCAATTTAAGTACATTTCAAGCAAGCGGATCATACAACATTTGACTTCTCTTCCGTACAAAAATGAACGAGGTAAAAGATTATACAAATGTATTTCGGTCCAATACATTAAACATTTTACATGTTAGGTTTAATGTTAGGATAACCTGTATATTACCTGCCACCTTTTCGTCTTATATTTTTGTTTATACTTAGTTTTCCAATTGTTATGATAACTGACAACAATTTTCTGTTTTTGCGGTCGCGGAAAATATTGCCTCTTATACTCAGCTTATTATCCGGAGTCCACAGTTACTTGGATTTTAGAATAGAGTGACGATTTGAAACGATTTTTTTCTATGAACAGCTGGGTAACTAAGTGATTATAGTGCTCGCCTCGTATCAAAGATCGCTGGTTTAATCCTGAGAAAAGTGAGTAGTTTTTTGATGGTTCAAAACTGGACCCAGGAGTTCTTCATTATTGGGCTTTTGATACATGTTTCTGTCTAAAAAAAACTTCTGGTATTATTCAATAACAAAGCAACACAGATCGTAAACTTTAAAGAGCATTTGTGTTTGTTTCTGAAGGCCTCAATGGGATCTACAGCTCTTTAAAATGAAAATATCTACAACTGTAAATATCAACTTGATATTTCTTTTAGGTTTGCCTACTATTCTGTTGAACTCCATAGTTGTATTTAAGCACACAATTGTGAACATCCCGATAAATTAAAAATTTACCTCTTTGAAGGGGTTTCCTTCAAGCAATAAAGTAGGCATCCGACATCAGGATTATTGCGCATTCCCAAAAATGCAGAGAGACAGTGGCAGTTCTAGGACCTTGTCAAGGGGGGCTACCAGGGGGCTTGGGGGGTGTGGAGCAGAAATGTAAGTGGAAATTTTCAAAGCCGTTTGGTGACTTTCTAAAACCATTTTTAACACCTAAAACCGTGCCCAATTGTCCATAAACTCCCATTTCGAGTGTTGTTTGTCATGAGCAAATAGACGTTTTTAAACTTAGGCTATGAGGATTGCATTAATGAATTTCACACTTTAGACTACGGCCATATCCTCCTAAAAGCCGTTGGGTGACTTTCTACATCCAGTTTTAAGTCTAGAACTGTGTGCCAAACCTCCCATTTTATAACGGCTAGAACTGTGCCCAATTGTCCTAAAACCTTCTATTTCACCGGTTCTATGTCATGCAAGCAACTAGACACGTTTTTTAAGCTTACGTTTTCTCCCTTTCATAGATCTGTCACAATATCTATTGTATCGAATTCCGTAACATCATTTACTATATAAACTTTGACACTAGTGTTTATATAGTCAATTGTAATAGACTAGTGCTAACGCTGATTGCTGATTGATGCCTGTCTAAAGTTAGTGGCTAGCATACAATTTGACAACTAACTATGGAACATCAAGAAATCAGCTGTTTAACCGTCCTCGGCGCTCGCCTTTACCCTAGCATGTCAACAGCTGATTGCTGTAAAAATTGGATGATGCGTACAACTTTCCTGAGTGTAATATTGTTTTATTCGTTGTGCTATTGTCCACAAAGTTTATCTATGTGGAACTTAATACTACTCCTGTCATCGCTTATTAAAATTAATAAAAACTACATTGATGTCTGTTTTATCACATAGCGTGTTTTAAGGACGAAATGTAAATTAGTTAAATTTATTTTTCCAGGGTCCCAGGGGGGGTATTTAGCCCCTGAAGCCCCCCCCCTGGAACCTCCACTGCACCTATTATAGAGCTATGCTAAAACTGGGAACGATGAAACTGCCCCCGATATTTTAGGTACGTTTTAAATGATGAAACTACCCCGCTCATTACAGAGCATCAAAAAGGGTAACCTCGCCATACCAAACTGCTGAAATTGCCCCGAACGCCCGGCCAGGTAGGGGACGCTACGGGTCTGGGGAAAAAGGGAATTATTGTTGTCCCTGCGTTCTGTCAATGACTGCATTCTTCTAAAAACTACCACCAATATTAGGAATTACTAGCTTATTTTAGGCTAGATTAGATTAGGTAAAGGTTAGGATAGGTTACGTTAGGTTAGGAATTGGTACAGAAAAAGTAGGAAAAGCAGTCGAAGGCAGTCCTAGAGATTGCTGCCACTGATAGGACACAGGAACAAAAATAATTCTCTTTTTTCCCCAGTCCCGTAGCGACTACCTGGCCGGGCGATCGGAGCAATTTCAGAATTTCTAGTCTTGCGAGGTGACTCTTCCTTCTCTTTAATGAGCGGGGCAGTTTCATGTTTCTAAGTACCCAAAATGTTGGGGCAGTTTCACTACGCCCCTAAAATTAAGCCATATAACATTAAGCCGCGTTTATATGAGGGCAGTAGAGCAGACAGGTTACGGGGCAGGTTAATCGTCTCTAATGTATTTCAAGTTCTTTTAGGCAAGTTACCGGCGGCAGATCAATTAGAATGTCCATACTTTTTTCTATGTTTTTGACTGTGACTAGTAATGTTGAATAAGTCTAATATGCCTATATTATTCCATTTAAGGGCAACAGTGTTTTGGGTAAATGATTTCAAAACTGAATCCCAATGTGTGAAACATATTCTTAAATTAATTGTACTCGCTGGACAACGTATAGTAATGATAGTTCTTTATGACTAAAATTTTACAGGTTTCCGCATTGCAATGACAAATAATATTAATTAGTAGAATTTAATACAATATATAAATATTTTACATTTGGATTAAGATGTAGCTTTACATCAAAATTATTTTACCTGTCTGATTAAGAACACAACAAAAACATACCTGATAAAGCAATTGCGAGTTTAAAAAGCGTTTGGGTTTGATTTAACGTTTAATTATTGGCTATATGCATTTTTTGTCAATATTTTTTTTCTTTTTACAAACAGCAGACGGCCTAGAAGTTGACTTAAATCACCTTTTCATGAAATTGTCTAGCGTTTGATAGGTCGTTAACGGTTAGCATTCATCTTCTTGATTTAAAAATTTAAAACTTTATTCTGCTAGTAGGAGTCAAGTGTTACATTTTTATCTATACTATTATAAAATCGAGGTGGTGTCTGTTTGTCTGTGCAGCTGTCATGACTAAAATACTAAACCGATACAGCCAAAAGTAAACACACCGATGGTCCACATATCTAGGAATGTCTTATCCCTATTCACTTCCACGAGTTCCTCTCGGGCTACGCCCCTTTGATGTGTAAAGTTTTGAGGTGAGGTTTTCAAATGTAAATATTAATTGGTCTCCGTAGGAGCATAAGATAATTCACAATATTTGTATACCTTTGTGTTGACATTTTAATGTAAACAATAAGTACTGTTGAATGCTTATTTGACAATTTCAGACAGCTGATCCAAACAAATAAAATATTTTACACAATTTTTCTATAAAAGTATGTCATTGATTATGGAATTAAAGAAAGATTCTATAACCGTTAGTTATGACAATTATGTAATTGATACATTTTAATGTTAAGAGTAAGACAACTCAATGTAGGTCATACTTTTTTGTATAAATTTGGTGACTTTTTGTTAATAAATTCGAACTACTTTACAAGTGTTTTGATTAGGCGGTATAGTACATCTTCCCGTTGCAAAGCACGGCTACAGAAGCTAGTACAGTAGTTGATAAATAAGCTTGATTTAAAATTCGTTACGTAATGTAGAACATCGAGTTAAATGAACGGAGTGTGACTATTACTTAACCAATAATGCAGTTTTCAATAATTTGGTGCGTTATAGCATTGTAAATATTTACAAACCCAAAAAATCCAACTCCATAAAAAAATTCGTATACATTAATATTACTGTATATGATTGAGTGGCTTATTATAGGGTCTATAACTAAAGTGTATATAGATGTGTACCTTCTCAAACAAAGGATTTTTTTAAATCACTTATTTTGAGATTGTATTCAATTTCCAATGAAAATGTAAAAAGGACATTTTAATAATAGGCGTAATTTGCACAAATATTACAAATATGTTAAACAGTACTCACAATTAGCCACGTATCCAAAAACAAAACCCACTTCTCACTTGATCACAGGGACGAGGATAAGTTCAACAAAATCAGCTGGTCGCACTGAAAATTTCCTACCGGTGGCAAAAAACTGTTCGACCACGATTAGGTTTAGATGTGCGAATGATCTGCGGGAGATTCAGCAAGTGCAGGGTAGAGGCAGAGTAGAGGGAGGTAGAGGAAGGACCAAGGACAGGGCAACCTTGGTCTCAGGAGGCGCTGAGCGGCGCAGCACCAGCCAACAGGGATATTTGGTAGGATAAGTTGGTCGCACTCCTCAGGATCGTTAGAATATGTAAATTGAAATTATATTTGTGGTTTAAATTGTCCTTCGTTGTTGCAGTGGCTAAAGCTGTTTAGTACTCATGACAGCAAGTCCAATAGTTTTAAGTTATAGTCACTTGAAGCTAAATAACACTAGGTTCAATGAATACTTGTTGCTATAGGTACGAAAACGTGATAACCAATAGTATAGTGCGAAATTTGTCACATTTTATCAAAATATACCCATAAAGAAGAGACCTAATAGTTTAGATTTTCCTATAAAAATGACATGAGAGTTTTAAACGCATGGTTTGGCGAAATTTTCTCCACAACCTCGTACAAAGACGATAAAATATACATAATTAATTGTTTTAGCGAATTTCCTTGTAGGGAAGGAACTGGTACGTCTAGACCCAGACCCGAGACCTATTGACTTTTTATTTTGAATTCCCAGAGGCCAAAAACACAATCCGTTCAAAATTGTTATATGCTTATTTAAGCTCTACTTTACACGATTGCTGCCATAAAACCTGAGTATTTTATTGTTTTGTGGATATAAATTTGAAATTAAGTTAAAAAATAATATTAAACCCCTATTACACTCACTCTGCTCCTATAGCCTAATCCTGTTGCTTCGCAAATTCATACAAGTTTCTTTCACATTCATACCAAATTTCATCAAAATTGAACCATATTTCATGTTTTTGTGTTTAAAGACACACGCACACACGAACACATATTTCTTTCCTATAAAATAAAGGAAATTAGCTTTAAAAACACGAAGACAATACGGAATCTATTTTTGTTCCTATGGCTAATTGCCAACCGGTAGAATCAGTGATATGCTGAGCACATTAAATGTCAAATCCGAAAGACGAAAGGTTCGTTCAGTTCATTCTCCCATCTTTGCTATTTGCTTCCTAATATTACTCTGTTCTGTACCAAATAGCGTTAAAGATAGGTTTTGAAGGTGTGCACAAATTGACACCTCATAGTCTCTACATGTTTGACACTATACTTTACCTTATCAAGAGTCATTTATTTTATCGAATAACATTTTAACACTACTCTAAAACTGCACTTTATCTCAAGTGACCAATTGCAGTAGAAACATCAATTGTATGGAATGACGATTTTTGGGTTGGTATCAAAATCATTACTACAAGTTTTCAGTTTTGTTGATACTTCAAGTATGGGCTCTATTTATTCCTGAACGAAAACTTTAAGAAGGTTATATAAATATGTGGGGTGTTCAATAAAGACTGACAGTACTCTTTCAATAACTTTATTATAAAAGTTTAGCCTGTTAATTAGTCGCTATTAGAAGCCACATACTTGTTCCAGTGCCTCTGCCACGCCTTGAAGACGTGTTTTTGAACAGAATATGCCAAAAAGACGCCGTCTATATAAACCTGAAACAGGTTCTTTCACCCATTTTATCACCACCAAAAGCATTTTTTCAAGTAGCTGTTTTATCCGTAACACTTTTTTACACAAAACTTTATTCCATATCTTACTGAAGTCTCACTGAAATCTGCCATAATTAACTTTAGAGGTAAGCATTTACAACTTGTTACTAAGCGGTCACCATCACAACAATAAGTATGCTATGATGTAAACAGCTGATTGGGTTATTGCTAATACTTTAATGTTTCATACCAACTTGGTAAAACTAATTATTGTACTTTGTTAGCATGTACGCAACGTTCAGTCTTTATTGAACAACCATCGTACAAGCTTCATATTAGTTGAGCTTAGTTGGTAAATAAATAATTACATTTTCCATAATTTTGATAGCAAATACCACCCTGTCGCATCAGTAGAATGATACTATTGAACACAAATAGCGATGGATTACTCCTGTTTTGTGCAGCTTATCTGTTAATGGAGACTTGTTTTTTTGGTCACGCTGATCATTTCATAAACTAGTTAGTCGAGTTTCTTTTGATATAACTTTAATTAAATTGCATCTTGTTTTGCATCTGTAAAACACCAGGGAATATTTAAAAGGCAGCTAGATAACAGATAGAACAGATGAATAAATGTAAACAGTGAATATAACATAGTTACCTTTCTAATATCTTACTAATATTATAAATGTGAAAGTAAGTGTGTTTGTTTGTTTGAAGCTCAATCACGCTTAAACCACTGGACGGATTGGACTGAAATTTGGCATGATGATAGCTCACATTCCCGATTAACATGGCATATTCTTATCTCAAAAATCCTTTCGGGCTCCGCCCCAGTGGCTCTGCAGTTCCCCATGTCAACCTTATGAGTATTCATATTTAAAGGGAATTAAAGAATTTAGTCAGCTGTTTCAACTAAAAAGTTGGTTCTATGATATGTAAAAGCATAAAAACGTTATAAGATTTACTAACATAGGGTGCACCACAATACAGGGTTATTACAAATGATGTTCATGATTTCAAACATACATAAAATATAGTTTTATTTGTTATACAAAGAAATCAAATGGTTACAGCTTTTGAAAAACTCAAAAAGTTTCGACACAGATACACAGAACTGTAAATGCTCGATACGGGAACCCCTTGTGGTATGACAGATGTCAATAATGTAGTCAAGCTCTTGCAAGACTTTGGAAAGTGTGTCTTGATCTATTGTTTCGTTAGCATTGGTAATCCGTTGCTGGATATCAAGTATGCTATCTGATAATGGTGGTGTGTACGCCTTATCTTTGATGCATCTCCACAAGAAAAAAATACAGGGGGTGAAGTCCGGAGATCTTGTAGGCCAGTTCAGGGGTGTGTCATTGTTCGGACCATCGAGCTCGTTCCATATCTCAGGCAGCACATTGTTAAGTTCAGCCCTACTACAAGTAACATTCAAATGCAGCCATTTCTCTTAAATTTCAAGTGTCACTTGCCAATATAGTGGTTACTAGGAGGATAATCGTTAAACCTGGTTCTAAAGTGTCGTTGCACACTAATAACAGATTGGTTAATGTAATATTCCAACTGGCAAAAAGCGTTCCTGCCTTCTAATTCAACCATTACACAACACTTACAACAATTGACTTGACAAACAGCTGATATCCACCCAAACCAATGTAAATGAAACTTTATGAGTTTTTCTTTCCAATGGTACCAACTAAAATAGTCTTGGAACAAATTAACCCAGTAATATTTATAATCAAAATCAGGAACATCATTTGTAATAACCCTGTATTTCTTTGCATTTATGAAAACAGCTAATTCTTTAACCAAGCAGCAACAAAAAACTGTGATACGCAATAAGAACTAACTGTCAAAGTAGGATTGTTTACAGTTATGTTTATGTTTTTAATTTCATTAATAATTTGTGATAATTTGTGGATTTTTGATAATTTATTTGTTTCTATTGTTTAGGTGAAGTGGTAGAACACTATGGCTATGGTAGATGTGAAATACTATAGACTACTGTAAATTTAAAGAAGCAAATTTTATCAAACTGTGTCCTGCTTCATTGCAAACGCAAAGCTTGGGTATAACTGCAATAAGCATTTTATACTTGAATGCCAACCCCTTACGAAGGACGGGTACTCTGCTAGTCATATATACACCACTGTTACAATGGAAGATGTAAAATAATCTCAGACATTAAAGGATTGCATTTGTCTAGTTTTCTATTGAATAAAGTCTTACTACTTGAGATCAACAACATTTGATGACATGTAAAACCCAATCCACAAATTACATTTCAAAGACATTCAAGAGAAAATAAAAATAGTAAACATGACAAGGATCTCGCATGCTAATTTCAATCGTCTGTTTTATCTCTCACGTGGTTCGCAGAACGTAGTTCACGTTTAAGTGTTTTGATCTTTCCCCTTCAATTAACCTCGTGAGGAAAACCCATAAACATGGTTTGACTTTTAGATTCTTCTTGTGTCATTACACGTATGAATGAAAGAACAGAGTCTCGTGTGCGATTAACTCCTATTTACAACCAAACAGGCTGTGTTTAATATGTGGTAGGGTGGATACTGTAATTTAATGGGATGTTAGTGAATTTCCCATATAGGGAATTAGCTATTACTGTCTCATGGTAAGACCTAGACCCGGGACTAATTTAATTTTTTTTTAGGTCCCCCCAGAGGCCAAAAACACAATCCGTTAAAATTCATATATATGTGGGTCCGTTAGCGTGATAACTCGAGCAAAATACTTCAGATAAAATACTAATAAAATGATCAGATTTTGATGAAATTTAGTACAAACATGTAAACCTACTTTGAGTACCTATTCGAACGAGTTCGCGAACCAGCATAATCGGACTATGGGAACGGGGGTTTATCGGGGGTTTAATGGGATGAAAAATGATTTTTCCCATTTTACCCTAAAAACAAAAAGATTTTTAACTTATCTTCAAACCATTTTGTAGAACTTAAAAAACAAATAATTTAGTATATTGAAGCGTTATTGTGCGCTTAATGGTTACGGAGAAAACGAAAAAAATTAAAATTCTCATGTTATTCTTATGGAGAAAATGAAAACTGTTTAAGTTTGCTTTGTTTATGGGTATATTTTAACAAATTTGCGGAAATTTTGTTTATCTAATACTAAGCTACCAAAATTGCAATAAAAAGACACCTCAATATCTTCCCTGTAGCAGCAAACCTAATGTCTCACTAAAATTAATGTTATTTAGATAGGAAATAAATCTGACAATTTTTAGGAAATATTTTAGTATAAATCCAGCCGGGTGAATGGAAATTTGCTTAGCCTGCAGGTTTGCTGCGGTGGGGACATTTTCCTATAACATAGAACGGTCTTAAACGGTCAAACGGTCTTAACGGTTGACTATGAAGAATCTAAAATTTTCTCAGTTGAAGTAATATTTTAATTTGGAGGAATAATTTTATGGA